AATGGATTTCTATATTTATATTGTTACAACTTGGATGGCGCAACTAAAATTACTTTAGAACCGACAGTAGATCAAAAGCCAAGAATTCCTAAATCGCGTATCATAATGATACGAGGTCTTGATCATTTCCTGTGTATTATTGATCATTCATACATAGGCTTAGGGCCTAGATCTATACCCACCTAGATCTACATTAATCAGTTTTTAATTCTTCCTGAAAAAAATTTACTAACACCTTGGAAACTAGCTCTAGATCTAGATCTAGATCTATAAGAAATTTATTATCAGCATCCCAGCTAGGCTGGGCTAGACCTAAGCGTAGCGCGTGTCAATAGGCCTAGATGGATATAGGCTAGGGTCTAGATAGGCTAGAACATGTGTTTAAAAATAAAAAAATCAACAAATTCCGCCAGCAATAAGTTGAATTCACACGAACCACACCCCCAGCGTCTAGCCTATCCGCCACGTTTCGATAAATTTGACCTTTGACCTGCAATCTTACTGCTGGCAGAGCGAGGAAGTTGTAAGGTGTTGTTCCCCTTGGTAATGGCAGCTTTCTATGAAGTGAAGACGTGGAAAGCTTCACAGGGATATTCACTGGATTCAGTGTGCGAGTCGAACAATATTTGGTGATATCCAGCTATGGTTGGTAAGAACAACATCTTGACGAATTTAGCCGTTGATGCTTTAAGTCAACAGTGGAACTTAACTTTGTATTCTGACACCACTCATCTCATCATTAGATGTTCAAAACAACGTTTTCATCAACAATAGAACGTGTTAGTACTGTTAGTGTAGTGTGAAGAGTTGAGAAATCGTCTCCTCGGTCCCAACGGCAACTGAGTCAGTGACATCCTATCTCTAGGCTTATGCGGAAGATTTTTTAAGTCTAGGATCCAACGTTCATTATTACATATAAGGAATAAGGCCAGATAAAAAAAAGGCCGGTTCTAGCTTTTATATTGGCCACCTCTATACTATAGTATAGACTATAGTAACTGTTATTCTCACGGCCGCTCACCCCGGGTGAGAATAGCGTAGCCGAGTCTTTTGGCTATTCTCACCCGGTGTCCGTTCACTGTTATTTAGGCCATAGCCTAGATCTAGATCTAGATTAGGTTCACCCTAAACCACAGAATTCTACACTGTGATAACAGAAAAATTGTAGAATTCTGTGCCGTGAACAAACGTTCCATCATTACTACTGTTAGAGAAGCCTATTTTGTCTGTGGGCAGTGGAGAGAGAGAGAGAGAGAGAGAGAGAGAGAGAGAGAGAAG